GCAACGTTGTAGAAGCAAGGAGGAAGATGGCTGATGACAGCCCAGGATTAACTTGAACCCTTGAAGAAGTTTATCGAAAGGCTTGCAGTTTTTTAATTTTTTCTGTAGATGACCATGGTAAATTCTGACTTTCAACGGCATAGAGATCATCCCTGTATTGTAGGTACTGATAGTGCTTTGTGAACGCAGTGAGTCTGTTCATCTTAAGTAAGTTACTCTGACTTTTATGGTGGTCTTGAGCTACCCAGTCTAAATATAGCTAATGAAAAGGTGCAGCATCTGGATCAGTATCCAATTTGTAGAATCTTGCTTGTATGAATGAGATTTGATTATGTCTGTCTATGGCAGATGAAGCAGGGTGTGAAATGCTAACAAAAGACTCACATCAGTCCCCTGAGGCCACGCCTTGGTAGCTGCTGTGAATGTTGGCTTACTGCCATGATTATTTTCTTTAAAGTAAATGTCTCTTTAACCAAGGACTGGTTTGGGTTTTGGTTTGTTTCTTTCTTTTGCTTGAGGAAGTAATGTTAGCTGACAGCTAATGAAATTGCTTTCTCTCCCCTTTGGTGCTGAAAGTTCAGCCTAACACAAAGACCTAAATAAGTAATACCATACAGATTAAGGGGGGGGGTGTCCCTTTTTTTTTTCTTTTTTTAGCTTTTCATTCGTGGGTGAAAGCAAATAAGAGGAAAACAGAGAATACTTTGGTGGCAGGTTGCATAAAAGACGGGTAAATGCCAGTGTCTGTGGTGGTTTAGAGAAGCTTGAGTAAAAGAATAGAAAGGAAGTGGGGAAAAAAGCACCAGTGGGAGAGAAACAGTAACTGTTGTGAAAACACTTAGCATTCTTTGGAAACGCTCTTCTGTTAACAATACTGCAGTTGATTAAAAATTGTTACAAATAAAAATCTGGTTTTTTTAGAAAATGGTGGTTTAGGTTTAGGGTTTTTTTTTATTACTTAGTATTATGAAGCGTAGCAGGTATCTCGCTTCAGTTCAGTACATATCAAAAGCTACATTTTTAAGCTGTTGTTACTCTTTAGCTCCTCCGTTTGATTGCTTCTAAGCACTTAACTGGGAGAAGATCATCTTAGAAATATAAGTTGCCTGTTTCCCTTTCTCATAAGAGCTGGAGACATTTATAGGATAAGCCCAACCTAACAAAGTCAGTTTTATGTTGCTGGTTAGAGAGAATAATTAGTTTGAATACTTTACCGTCTTGTGCTGCTGAGGGAGGATTTGGCAAGTTATGACTTGGGAAGTTTGTATGCTAAGAATATTTGTATCTTTTTAGTATGTGTAATAAGTTACCTTTTTCATTTATCAAACAGTTGTTTTGCAGATGTTTAATGCAAATTCCATGAGAAGAGAAAAGACAGCCTTGTGGCTAAAGTTAGGATTTGTGAGAGACTGAAATATTAACAGTAATGGCTCAAACAATCCTTCATTTGCAGAAGGAGCAGGTGCTTTGCTGACAAGGTGCAAGGGAAGGGCCCAGGTGCAGAAGGTGTGACCACAACCAATTAATCTTTGTTTAGCAAGCAGCTGGGTTTTGAGCAAAATAAGGGAAGAGGCAGATGAGAAGCAGATCCTGCAAGGTGGGATAGTGCTTTTTATTATGCCAGTGATACCTTCCTTACACAACTGACTCAGGTGTGAAAACTCTCCTTGGGGGGAGGTATTGGGACATTCCCAGGTAGGCTGAAGGTATTCATCCCTTCTGACAGTGGCTTAACTACACTGACATGAGAGGCAGGTGTCATGTTGTAAAAGGTGTCATAAACCACCAAAGACTGAAGTGCTCCCACACTCATTTTTGGGGTCTTCCACCAGAGGACTGCAAATGATCCACAGTGGTACATCAGGTAGCATAAAACTCCTCCTCCAGCAGAGGTACCTGGCCATTGCCACCTATCCTGAGTGTAGAATAACCCACTGAACTTTGTTTTGTGGGCTTTCCACCACTCGCGATCGATCAGGACTGCCATCATTACTTTGACCAGTGGACACTGACATTGCAACAATCTAGTCTCATCATTGGATCCATGGGTTGTGATATTCTTTTACTCTTATCCTTCTACTCTTCTAACTTCTTCCCAAAACGTATTGTAAGCCAGACTAAAAATTTCCAGTCAATGCCTTAGTAAGTGCCTTGTGATATCTGGATAAGTTAAAGTTGGCTAAGTTTAAGTTTGCAAAGTTAAAGTTTGTAAAATGCCTTACTTTGTCTGGATGTTGTTTTAAAATTTGCTAAGTAGCTTATTCTGCCTTTATGTTCTGAAAGTTTACAAGTAATAGTTTGTTATTGAACCTCCTGAAAATTTTATTATTTCTCCCATGCACTGCCGAGACAGAATCAAACAACCATCCCCTAAACCCACTGAGCATATTGGGGCATAACAGGATTGAAAAGAAAAACCTATACTTAGAGAAAGACTTTTTTGTGGGACACTTCACTGCTCTGTGCCCCCATTTACTTTGCTATTAGGAAAGATACTCTTCTTGTTAGTTATGCTGAGAATAAAGTCAATAATGTTTGCCTAGTTCCTTGAAATTTTAAAAAGATACATATTTTTGTATTCTAGTTATTTTGTCCTCTAGAAGTTTGTGGTGGGGAGGTGCAGTCAGTCAACTTTGATAAGTTCAAATCAGTGCTAATTAATTGTTCACCATCTTGTATGAATCTTGAAACATGGTTCATAGTAGATAGATGGTAGTAAGTGAGAGCAGAGGAAGACCTTAGGTGTCTAACTTTTAGCTTGTTCCAAAGCAAAGTTATCACCAATGCAAGCTGTAAGTCTGCCTGCATGCCTAGGGATACGTATTGCTAGATAAAAGTACTTAAAGTGATTACAGGTACCCCTGTGTCTAGTGAAATACAATCTCTATTTCCAGAAGACTAATTCAAGTCAAATGTGCCCTTTACGTGCTTACATTTAGTTATTTTAACCTTCTGGACTGAATTTTTGCATTAAAATTTGGTACAAGTAATTTCCATTACAAGTCCCAAAGTCCCCTTATTCTAAACTCTTAACTGCAGCGAAGTAAACAGGCTTGCTATCTCTTTATTAACTCCTATATAAAGTGCTATAAAATTAGCGTTAACCAGACCTGCAGTTCTATAGATGCAGTTCTGTACTCTTTGTATTTCATCACAGGAATGTTTTAGAACATGTCAGTCTGTGTGTGACACCACAACTGGACATTTGGGGAAGTAACTCTCTCCTTCAGTTTTATAGAATTAAAAAAAAAACAAAACAAAACAAAAAACAAACTAACAACTAACTAGCAACTAACAGTAAATTGTCTTTTGTTTAAACAACATGTCAGCAATACCTTTATCAGCATCAGTGTTTCCATTCCTCTTTTTCTCCACAGGGGTGATAGCTTTAGAAAACCTGTTGACTCATATCCTGTACATTATTACGGAAAGCACGCATGACACACACAAATACGTATTTTTTGCTTTTCCCTGTCTTCTACCATCTTATGTGGTCCATTTCCTCCTTTTGCTTACATAAAACCTTGAAAATCAGTGGTTGATGGTTGTAATCTCCAGAGTTGTCAGTGTATAGTTCTGTCTTGTGTTTTTCTGTCATCTGTGTAAGAAAGCCAAGGAGAAGAGACAGTACTCCTGTAATCCATCCTGTTTTGTCATCTCTTGTTCTTTTTTATTTTTTTCTTCCCTCATTGTTTTTGTTGTTGTTTAGCTTCTCCCCAGCTGCAAATCAGATGTTTCATGCTGATCTCTTAGATCTAGGACATATTACTGTCTGCTTTCCTTGTTCACCATTTCTGTATGGGTAATGAACAGAATACGGGTTTCATCCTTTTTAACTGTTGCCACAGTTGTAATTACTTAGTTTCTGAGGCAAACTACACATCTATATTGAATAAACTACACAAAACTTCACGTATGTAAACTGTACAGTACTAGCCTTTGGCAGTAAGTTCATCAGTTTCTCTGAGTATACAAAACAGTCTGGACTAAGTGTGACCTGAGTAATGTGTTATCCTGATGGACCGAACATTGCTTCACATAGTTGATCTGTATAAACATGTAAAGGATAGTGTAAGAAGACGTACATAACCTACACTTGCATACTTATGATATTTAAAAGTAAATAAACCTCTGTGCTTAAATCTTCAGGTACTCTAAAGTAAACAATGTGGAACAGTTGGAATAATATATTTCTGCATTGAGTTCAGTGGACTTAAGCAGTTCTCGTACTTTCTGCCGGTGCTCTGGAAGTGTACATTCACTGAATTTTTAAAAATTTTTGTGGGGATGTTTCTTTTGCAGTTTGTGCAATTAAACCTGTACCTCTCTGCATTAGAGTTGTCTTTTCTTGCCTTGAATGCTGTGGACAGTCTCTTCCAAGCTGCCCTATTAACACAAATAGGAATTGCAAACACTCTAGCTTATTTTAAGCATCTGAATAGAACACCTTGTCAGTTGTACATTCCATAAATAGGACTTGGTGACCATTTGTCATTTTTCTTAGATGCAATGACTTCCATGGTACTGTGTTATTTTCCTGTTAGTAATGACTGCAAGTAAATATGAGAACATGGTGCAGACATTGGTCATTATTTTGTTTCTTTTTTCTTTCCTTAATTCTGTATCATTTGACAGATGTGATACTAGAATAAAGATATATATATATAGCATGTATGAGTGTGTGAGGGTGTATATGACTGAAACTACACTTTGCCTCAGAAATCAATGGCAGCACTTGAGTGGTGAGCTGTAAAGACCATGTTAGGTGTGCATAAGAGGCTACTTACATATCATTGATCAGATGGACAGTTTCCTTCATAACTCATGCTGCTGAGTCTTTTCATCACGATTTTCATGACAGGAGCATAACACAAATTCATTCAGCAAGCTACTTTAAGGTTGAAGGAAAGGAATGTATTTGGATTTGAGGGCTGGATGTGTATGCTGTGTTTAAAAGGCATGCTACTGGTATTGATTTTTTTTATTTCTGTTTTTCTCAGGACAGGTTAAAGTGTTCAGGGCCCTGTATACGTTTGAGCCCAGAACGGTAAGTACTTCTAAATTTTAGAGGTTTGAAAAACTTAATTCTAATTTTGTCAGTAACATTTCTTCAATTCTGCTAGGATTGGCCTATTAGACTTACTGTACTGTTTTCAACAAAATAAAGTCTGTTGATGCGTATTTGTTCTTATTGTGACTAAAACTGCCTGATTAATCATCACTCTCCAGTAAGTCCACTCTGTTTTAAAGCAGCATACTTTCTTCTGTAGTATCTGTTACCTACAGTCTAAGATCTGAAATCGTGATTTGGTTTTTCTTCCAAAAGGGGGATGAAATTAACAAACACAAATATAAATTTCACTGCTTCTGTTGCCCAGTGCTCTGTTGGAAAGAACGCAGTCTTTCTGCATTGTTAGGAAGATCACAGATCCAAAAGGTTATCTGTAGACAAGTCAAACTACTGACTATCAGGTTGTTGTCTAGGTGCTAGAGAATTTGAGTTATCATTCTTTTTAATGAAGAGGTGAATGTATTCTGAATTATCCAGGTATTCGTTTTTCATTTGTACACATATTCAGATATTTGTTCATTCCTCTTTTTTTTTCTTTCTGTTTTTAAGCCAGATGAACTGTACTTTGAAGAAGGAGATATCATTTACATCTCAGACATGGTGAGTCCAAGACATCCCATACAGACTGAACACTTCTGAGATGCAACATATACCTTTTAAAATATTTTCCCTTTTCTCTGCAGAGTGATACAAATTGGTGGAAAGGAACTTGCAAGGGGAGAACTGGGCTAATTCCAAGCAACTATGGTAATGTCTAGAATATTTTTATTTGGTAATTTACAATCAAAGAAAATCAGTAAACAAAAAGGCTTATGATGCCTTAAGCCCCAAATAGTTTTTTATTTTTCTAATTTTGTAAGCCTTATAAGTTTTATAAGTAGTAGAAGTAGATTTTAAAAGCAGCAACCCTCACTCCTTTTCCCTTTAGTACAAGCAGTTTACACATTCCTTAACCCTCTTACCCCATTCTATGCTCCCCATATTAATTCTACCCCCAAATCCAGTAGAAATGTTTAGTCTCTTGTCAAGGCAAGGCCTGTTCTGTTTGGAGAATGTTTGTATCTTGGCCTAAACTGCAGAACACGGTCAAGAACTGGGTGACTGTGTGCACTCTGTGCCCTGAAGAAGATGAAGATTGATGAAGAGAGGGTCTCAAAAGCCCCCAGCCCCAATTCCCAGGGGGCGGGGTGGGGAGTGGGTCAGGGCAAAAGTAACAGGGTGGACACACTTGGGATTGGACAGATATTGTTATAAAATGTAACATCTTAGGCACAGCCAGCGCGTGGTGTAACACCTATTGCCTTGGCACATTAAACCCTTTCCTTATCTCACCCCCTAGTTAACTGCTCCGGAGTTATTTTTTTAGCACCAACATTCCACGGCATCACTTATTTTCAAAAGCAGATCACATTGGCATCTAACAGTACTCTACTATGTGTTTCAGAATACACCTATCTGCAGTATCAGTCACTATTGTACATCAGCAGTGGACAGGCTGTCTTGTGTTTTTATAACCTAAAGACAGCATAAGTTTGCCTAGTGTTCATGTTTCTGCTTGTGCAGATAACAGTAATAGATGTTCTCAGTTCTGAGTGGACGAATGCGTGGTTCTAAAGGAACCATTTTTGTTTGCCATTTGTTGTATTTTAGTGAATATATCCAGCCACAGAAAACATTGTTTACTTGAGAATTGCATCATATTAAATATCCCTTACATGTCTGGACTGGATAGAAACTGCTTTTTCAGATTCAACTAAAATCACTTTTAAAAGCCATGAATACAGACAACACAGCACAATTCTTCCAAGTCCTTCCAGGAACTGTAGACAGAGTAACAGTGTCTCATGACAGATTGCATCATAACTGCCAATATGATACTGACTGTGGTTGCTTCACATTGTCCCTTCTTCACTAGGAGATCTTATGGTAGCAGTGCTATGATTCCCTGCCCTGTAGTAAGTAGAAATACATGAATAGCAATCCATGGTGTAGTTATTGAGACCATGGCATCAAATTTCACTGTAGTTTGGGACTTCCAGTCTGACTCTACTCTTGCCATCTGCCAGAGTTCAGAGGTCATGCATTGTTATATGCAAGCAGAATAGTCCATACATGCTTACCTACACTCAAATGTCTTTTGAAGTGTGTTATATTTAAAATAAAACCAGCAGTCTACCAATTCAATTTGTGTTCCCATTGAGATAACTTGGAAAACTTCCATTTTAGAGCAGGGTTGGGGAGTGGCATCTCTGTTTGCACATTTGCAAAACTTTCATGTGTAAGCAGAACAGAAGTCTCTGCAGACCTTAAAACAAGGAGTAATAGGAACATGTCTTCTGATTTAGGCAAACTGTAAAATCCCTCAGGCTATCTTTCTCTGGTTACACCATTAGGACTGACAGGTTTCATTGGTTTTAACCAATGAAACACTGTGATCTCCTGTGCTATTCTATAACCTTTTTGCAAAGGGTAGAGACAGACCTGAAACTACTGAATCTGTGGGGGGGTTTTGTGCTCCATCTGCTGGGCTCGAAGGAACACATTTTAAAAGAATGTGAATGAAAAGCTGCTGAAGGCAGAATCAGTGTTATCTGCAATAAAAATACTTATTGTGGAACTTCTGGCAAAAATTTGCTAAAAAGCTTTTGAGACAGTGTTGTTAGTGTTAATGCTGTCTGCTGTGCTCAACCAGCACTGCTCATTATGACTAACTTGTGCTGCTTGTGTAATAGCTGTCTGCTCAGGGCCTGGCTTCTCTGCATTAGAATTTTGTTCACTGTTTGCACAAATTATTTTAAAATTAAATCCCAGAATCTGGCATTTGTATTTTATTTTACTCATGGCTAGCAAGTTAAGCATGTGAAATCTTACAATTACAAACATTATGGGAGGAATACACATCAAAGTAAGAAAAGATCTGGAGAGGCCAAAAGAGTCTGGAGACTTTTATTTCTGGTAACTAATGTACGGTTATCAGTATTTTCCTGCTTTGCATCTGATTACAGTAACATTGTGATCTGAGGAAAACCCTTTCACATAACAACCATAGTGCAAGGGCTTAGAGATCCCATTCATCTCATATTGTACACTGTCCTGCTTGCCTGTACTCTTACTAGTTAGTGATTTTCACCTAAAAAAGAAAGTTTTAAAACAGAAGGTTGATCTTCAATCTGCCCATCACTACTGTCATTGTTTAAGCAGACCTCCCACAAGTTTTCCAGGAAAAATAAAAAATCTCCATCAAACAAAAAGGAAACCTCTTGACAGTCGATCTTTTTAGCTACCCTTCACAGACCCCTTGGAAATAATTCATTCATAACTATAGATGGCAAGTTGTAGGTTGAAAGCCTAGCCTCATGCAACTGCTCAGAACCATCTTACAAGTTTAGAAAGGGAAGTAATAACTGAGATTAAATACTGCTAGATTCCTGGTAACTTGCAACTGCTGATCAATTTGATGCTGCTGTTTAAAGTTTTCACAAGCTTTTTTCTGAAATGCTTTCCTGTACACAGGAAATTCAAGTTTTTCTGACAAGTCTGTCACTCCTAAATCCTTTTTCACATTAGAATCAACTATGTATTACTGGTTCCTCTGGAATAAATCCAGGTTTTATTTCCACAGATATCAAATATCTATTCAGTTTCAGAAGTAGTTAGAATTTACTCTTTCATTTCAGTGGCAGAGCAAGCGGAGTCTATTGATAATCCACTGCATGAAGCTGCCAAACGAGGTAAGTGTGTTTGGTCTTTTAGTCCTGTAATGCTAAAGGCTGTTTTGCTTGTTTTCTGCTATAATAATAATAGTATATTAAGAATTAAGATGTTCTGCCTGTTTTGCTTGTCTAGTATCTTGAACAAGTTATCTGGTAAGTTTTACAGCTTTGAAAAGCTGAGATACAAGCCTGGTAGAATTGCCACTCTGTGACTGTATGCACAGAAAAAGTGTGGTACCATCCATTTAACTGCATAAGGATCTGAAGGTCTTCTGGGAGTGGAAAACATATGGTGTGACTTTGGTTTAATGAATGGTGTTGCTGCTAACTCCCTTTTTCTCTTTTTAAGTTCATTGGAAGACTGTCATTCAGAGAGAACTATGTGTCTTTAATGGTTCTGTTAACTCTTTAAAGAAAAAAAAAATCATCAAAACTGATTTTGTCTTTCAGGCAACCTAAGCTGGTTGAGAGAGTGTTTGGATAATCGAGTTGGTGTCAATGGCTTAGACAAAGCTGGAAGCACAGCTCTGTACTGGGCATGCCACGGAGGCCATAAAGGTATCAGAGAATTAATTTGAAATTACTGTTCTTTGCTTTTCTTGATGTGCTATTCAGACTGATAAAATTACAGTGCTATAACAAATAACAAAGCCTTTTTTTTATGTTGTTCTATTTTTTATAAAAAGAAAAATTAGACTAGAAGGGAGGTTCAGCTCCATCAACTGCTGTGTGTTTTGTTGCCATTGAAGCAGGCATTCTCATCAGTGTAACTGCTAGAAGCAGAGTGGGAAGAAGGACAGACCAAAAAGAAGTTTTCTGTTATTTTGCATATTCTATGCAATAGCATGTCTTTTGACTAATGATTGTTTGCCCAATGCAGTCCGACTGTTACAGATTTTTATTAGCTGATTGGATTGCTCTTTCATTGAATCTAAATTAAAATTTATACTAAGAGTGCAAAAAGCCTGTTTTGTTTCTACTAAATTTTTCTCTTTAAACCTCTCCCTGTTTTCTGCAGATATAGTAGATGTTCTGTTTTCCCAGGCAAACCTAGAGTTAAACCAACAGGTAGGTTAAACCAACAGATCCTTACAGTAGATGTGTGATGTTATTCATCCTTGGTACAAGCTGAAAGGTTTTTTGCTGTATTTTAATCCTGTTGCTTTTCCCTCTAACTCCACAGAACAAATTGGGAGACACAGCTTTGCATGCTGCTGCATGGAAAGGTTATGCAGATATTGTAGAGATGCTGCTGGCAAAGGGTAAAGATCTTCACCAAGGTTTCAACAATCTATGTGGCAGACTAGATTCATGAATGTTTTTTAGTTTGTATTTTTAAGTGTTTTTGTATAACTCAAGTACAGTCCTTAGCCAGCTACCCTGCCTGACTTTATAAGTCTTGCAGAAAATTCTGACAGCTATTTGGAAAGTTGACATCTCACCTGCTCAAGATAGGTTTCATCCTGCTTTGCAGACAAAAGTAGGCACTTAACCCCAGAGCAGCAATGACATCTGCTTGCTAGAAAGGGAGAGTAGCCAGCAAGTTCCCTAAATAACTGTAGCTTGTGGAAGAGCATCCATAACTTCTGGTCTGCTTCAGAGCAGTTCATAGGTCAGACTCCTGTGTCCGTTACTATTCTACCCACCTTACTGAAATTCATGTCAGAATGCCATTGGTCGAGAAATAGCTGGGACAGTGATTCATGATGACAATTTTTCTATTATGAAGGGGCAAGAACAGATCTGAGGAACAATGAGAAGAAACTGGCTTTAGATATGGCAACCAATGCAGCTTGTGCTTCCTTACTTAAGAAGAAACAGAGTGCAGGTATTTCTGATTTTGTTTTTCTGATAAATTTTTTCTTTTAAGAGGACACTTAATATTTTAACCAAATATCAATATGTCGAAAGCCATAAAAAACACTTGGGAGATATATGGACTGAGTTGTGTTCAAAAGGGCTCACTTGAGAGGGTTAGTTTAGATTTGTGATAGAAACGTGGTTTATCACATGCAGTGTTGCTGACTCCACACAAAGTGCCATCCTGTGTCAGCAAGAGGCAAGAGTTCAGATGTGAGAATAACAAGGGAAGGAAATAAAAGACAGGTCCTTCAGATGGAAGAAAGCAAGATGGAAATTACTCTAAAAGCAATGTACCACAAGGGACAGGATATGAAAGTAAAATGGTGTGCTGTCTTCCCCATTGTGCTTGTCTGTTCCTCCAAACTTATGCCAAACCAACACCAACAGATGCTCCTGTTTTATTTTCTTACTGCTAATTTTTTTTTAATTTCTTATTCCTGTATTTTTCTGAGTGACTGTCTAATAGAGAAATGAAGAAAGACTGCTTTCAGGTATTTATCAAAATAGTGTCACTGCTTCGCACTGTGTTCATCTCTCCTGATAGCACAGTGCCATGTCCAAAAGAGTTAAAAAGATACAATGCTATTTTAAAAAGCTGAACAAAAACTGAATGGTCCAGTATTGTGTAACTAATACTGCCTATAGTTTTCAGGGGGCTGAAGTTAGGGCGGAAACCCTAGGTGAAATGAGAAATTATTTAAAAACAGAGGCAGAGTTAAAGCTGGTTTTGTTGGGATATGCAGTCTCGCAACTGTATTGTCACAGGACAAGTGAGAACAGAGGGAATGCTAACCTGTGGGAGCTTAGTGGGAATTAAATGGTGGAATAGCTGACTCCAGCTTTAGACGCCAAGAGGAGCAGTTGCAGCAAAAATATTATCCAGCTCTTTGGTTGAGGTAATATCAGGATTTCCCAGAAAACTTCTGACAAATTATTTTGACTCTGAAGAAAGCAGTTGTAACAAAGGGCAGAATTCCTTCTGTTTCTGTATTTTTTTTCTAAAGGTGGTTAATCCCTGTTAGGAGCACTTACTTCATCTTTGCATGTTAATTGTAGGCACCTGGTACAGGTGTATTCTCTGTTCTGATGTCCCTCATAACTATATTAATGTTTGATTTCCTGATCCTAAGTAACTAATCTTCTACTTTGTCACTCCCTCTAAATTAATTTAGTTTCGTGGCTGGCTAATTTTTCATCCTTAGTCACTTTATCTATCACTGGTCTCTGGTACCCTCACACCCTGTCTTTTCTTGCTTGCCTGAGCTGATATTCTCAGTCTAACTGCAGTTTCAGTATTAGCTTCCATGTTTGCTTTTCTACCTTAATTTCACCTTTTAAATATCTCTGACACTGCTGATCTGTATACTTTTCTTGCATTTTCTATTTTCTTGGCTATTTTCAGTAATTTTGTTCGTTCTGTTGAGTTTGCATTTCAGTATTTCCAATCTCTATGAGTGAAACAATTGTTCTTTTTCAGAAGTTCGATTCTATATCAGTAGTCTTCCTGTCCCCAGTTCCAAATCTGCTCTTATTTAGATACAGCTTATATCATACTCCATTTATAAAACTGTTTTATTGGAGGAAGCTTACACTACCTCCACTTAAATGTTCAGTTTTGTTTTACATGTACACAGACACATTCAAATGCCATAATTGCTGAAATATATTCTAAAACATTAGAATTATTAAAGTCATGTCATGGAAATGTGTGCTGGTTTAAAAGTTAACCAGCAGGGGGAATGAACCCAACTCAAAGGAGAGATTATAAGTCAGAATAACAATTTATTAAAATAATACAGTAAGTACAATAATACAAACAAACAATTGGTCTCAACCCACAAAAACCCAAATGTATAACCCAGTACCCTGGGGCATGAACAAAGTGGTGTTCCTTGGGCCCTGTTGAGTCCAAAGTAAAGGGAGAGGGGAAGAACCTGCTGGTGGGAGAGCTGCTGCAGTCTGGCCAGAACTGGTGATCGCAGTCCAGTGGTGGTCTAAGTCTGGTTGAGAGCGATGAGATGCAGCCGTCCTCTGGATCCCACGAGTGGGTTGAAAAATGTTCCAAAACTCCAAGATTATATATCCTCCAGTTCAGGCAGGAATGTTCAGTGCTCCCCTCAGGGCGGGGAGTT